TATATATATACAGTATGTATATATTGTATGGTCCCAATTGCTGCACAATATGCAGTGAGAACAACATGGACTACAATAGAAACCTGAATAAGTTTGCACTTCTCCCTTCTCTATGCAAATGTGAATTTCTAGATGGCCATCAATCTTGAGAACATAGATATTGGTTAAAAAATAGGGGACTATTGAAGTCATAAAGAAATAACTAATTACTAATATGACCTAATTTTCTTGCCATGGGAAAACATATGCTGTGCAATCCAGTAAATCTCATAAAGGTCTGTCTTTCTGCCCCACTCCTCTAACTTATACAAACCAGAATGTGAGAAGTTGCTACTGAATTGTGGTGTTCTTTGCTAGGTCAGACCTGCACAGTCATAAATTGAAGAATCCTAAGAATTCTTCTTATGGGCAATTCTGATTTAATTCTAACTACTCTGACTTTTGAAGTAAAAGGTTTTGTATGACAACCAATGAAAGTGTGAACTGAAAAATAGGGTCTCCTTAAAGTGTATTTCCACTTTTGCAGCCAAATTGGGATAACACCTACTTTATATTTAGTAAATGTTCCCATTCACATAACATAACTTAAAAACATGTTTACAAAATTCTACTTACCTTATTACTTTCTGCAAAATCCTTTTTTTAGCTTTCCCATTCTATGTAATGTTAAGGAGGAGGCAGAGGAGTGCAAGACATGTCCTCCTCAACAATGGGTTAAAGATCTTAAGGCAGAACATTGTATGTTAATGCGCTTAAAAGAAAAAAAAAACAGTCTCTCACGTCATCCTATGTATAAACCTGCTGCAAAGATAAACATGAAAGGTATCATTGCACACTGCAATACTGCATTTTTGTCTTTTTTGACATCATGTGCACCAACAATCATCCCACGTTCAAAAGCTGTTAAATCGTGTTTTTTACCCATATCTCCAGAATAAAATTACTACTACTGTCGTAGTAAACAACCTGCTTCCCTATTTATAATGGTCTGGCCCTCTCGCATCTTCAGCGCAAAATTATAGCTCATTATAGCTGATTTGCCTACAAACGTCAGGTGGTCATAATAATCTGGCCAATGGAAATAAACCTTAAAGAGAAAGGGGTCCCCCTGACGTCTTATACTCAGCTTACTAGCACTCCCTTGCCAGTTCTTCCCCTCTGCAGCTGGCTACAATACCCAGAACTTCCAGATAAGGAGGAACGTGTGACTCCCACCCACACCCTTGTGACAGTGCTCGGGTGTAGTTGGCAATCATTAGACCCGAGCACTGTCAAATTGCTTGTAAAATCAGCGCTTCCTCAGGGCACTGACGTAGGCTGTAGAGGAGGAGATAGCGGAAACAGATCACAGGTAATGTGAGAATAGGGAAGTCAGAAGGGGACCCTTCACAGAGACACTTTAATTTTTCCTGTATTGGCAAGAGACAGTGTCTCTTTAAATTGAGTTATTTTAAATGGGTCCAAATGACATGAAACGTTTGCGGATTCTGGTAGTTCTATATTTCCCATGATATGACCATAATTGCTTTACTGCAGGGCATGTCAGTGTATCATTTCAAAAATCATCTGTTTTTTTTTCTGGAAGCAACAACATTTATAATTAGGCTGGCATGATTTCCCTTGGATTTATGGGTCGCTGATACATGTATAATAGAAACATGTTATTGTTAGTTTTTTGCTAAAGAATTAACCTCATGAGCTCTACTTGCACCCTTCCTAGTTATTTGAGCCATAGTTTGCAGGAGCCTCCTGACCTCCCAGCCTCAACCCACATGGGAATTGAAGCATTGCCCTCTCTTCACAGATTACTGGTCTACTGTGAGACTCTTCATTATAACACTATCTCAGTCTGTGCTCTCTTAAGACTGATTGATTGAAGTAAATGAAAACTAAATCAGCACAAGTCGCACCCAAGATAAGGCCAGACACTTAATTCAGCAGCGACTTGCAGTAAAAAAGTATTCCCTGCAGAGCTAATCATTTTAAACTGTATATATCTGTTCGGCAACAGAGAATGTTTGAAAGAGCTAATTACGTTCTGTCTCTAATGTATAATCATCATCCCATGAGTAATCATTTGGAGTAATTATTATTGAAGGGTCAGTCCACCTAAAACCTTTATTTCAGTTTTTCCTGGAAGGTAGAGAAGAAAACCACCCGAGTTCTTTTGTCTCGTAGGTAGTCTATTGGTGAGATCCCTGTGCTGCGTTCCCAGCTATGCCGACCTGCTATAGCTATATAAAAGGGTCTATCTTTCCCTGTTGGAGGCTTTATTTATTTTATATTATGGAAAATGCACTAGAAGGAGCAGAAAGCCACAAAGGTGGATGCGAACAACCAGAGCTCTCAGATGAACAGAAACAGAGTTAGGAATTATGTCAGGGACATCTCTCGGTTGAACAGTAGAAAGGCATCATCAAAGCCCATTTCGTGTGCACCTTACTGTATAACTGGTAACAAATTGTTGAGTGCGTTTGTCGTTTGTTTTGCTTTATCTCTCGGTTGAAGCCTCATATAAGAAACCATGAGCTGACTCAACAATGCAGCCTCCAGCTATAACTAAAATACCAGTTTTGGTTGAACTGATTGTTTAGGGTCCATTCAGACTGCTGGGATGTGGTAATGCAATTTGTCATATGTTACCGCAATGCAGCGTAACACACAATCCACAATATGTTGCTTTGTCATTGAGAAATGGCACCCCAATGCCTAAGTACAGCAATAGGCAATTCGCTACATGGCACCACACCACAACACACATGCTGTTGTGGGAACATGTCCATTTTCCATGTGTTAGGGCTGGTTTACACCAAAGGGCTGTGCTGAATGTGCTAAAGGCACAGTACCGGTCAAGTTATTGCACAGCGTAACTCTAAGTGCACTGGTGCATTGCCATTTATTTTAAATGGCATTCCAAAACACTTTTCAGCAGGCATGCATTGTGCTGCAGTGCATGGTATCGCAATAGTGTGAGTTGCATTGTCGCTTGGTGAAAAAAAAATGAATTCACTCTTTTTTTTCTGCATGGCACTGCAATGCACGCTATTGCAGTATTGTTACATAGTTACATAGTTAGTCAGGTTGAAAAAAGACACATGTCTTGTCCATCGAGTCCAACCTATTGTCCATCAAGTCATTCGAATGAATGGCAACGCAACACATCAGCATACCTAGTGTGCGGTGCATTGCACTGTGCAATTGTGCATGCTAAATGTACGGATGCTGTACCTTTAATGCAAAACGCTGTGCCGAACGCTGTACCTTTAACGCAAGGTGCTCTACCAGCCCAGTCAAAATGAAGGGGCTGCCTTACTGAGCAAACAGGAATGTATCTCTGTAAGTATATAATTGTGCAAACAGTAAAAAGAAACAAGGCCTAAAATATTAACATATGCAATTAGGATTATTTAAATTCTGCTGATCATGTTCACCTTGCAGGTTTTGGTTCATTGGAAGACATAATTAATATCTATCATAACTGTAGCTGTCGTTGCATATTGGCAAAAGTATGTTCTTCACACTTTAAATGCTACATCACTAAATTGGTTATATTCAGCGAATGCAATCTTGTCAGCTGTGGTCATGGTAGGCATAAGTGAGGTCTTTTAAAAACAGCCTGAGCCGAGAACGCTGTGAACAAAACTCTCCTGGATGGAAACTCATTACATCCACTCTATATGTGACCTAAGGGGCATTTCCATTCTTTATGAAAAAGCCCTAAACCACATGCTTCCTACAGACCTGATAGGCAGCCCAATCGCCAACTGAAGAACTGCGGACGGCAGGCTGATGCTGATGCTAATTATAATGCACTGGATTAAAACTGTTAGCCTGAAACAGAAAGTGCTATTATTGGCAGGACCTCCTGAGAAAGAACAGGCAGCAGATTTACAAAAAATTATTTTCTTAAAGCTAAAGTATGTTTAGAAGAGTAGCCCCCAGGAGCTGTTTAGCCATAATATGCTAGTATGGATGGCAAATTAGCACATTATGGCAGACTTACTTGCCAAAGTGATCCTCTCCAGAGCTGCGATGTCTGCATTCTCCTCCCTCACCAATGCTTCCATTTTCTTCCCGGTATTTTTTCTGATTTAGAGTCTTCAGCCGATTGGCCAGATAAGGAAACTCCCGTGCATGCACCCATCTGAAACAAGGCAAATTGTCTTGTCTTGAGTTGTCTTGCCTTGTTGGGCGTTTTTTCCAGTGCAGCCCCAACACATTGAGTGTGAATGGGCCCTATACATCCAATCTGCCACTGTGGCAGATGGACTTGCAAATCTCAACATACTTGTAGTCTATTGATTACTTCCTCCAGCCCCA